CACAGCTTCAACTGTACGTTGCACATACTCCTTCACGCGAGGAGTACACAGACACTTAGGGGAAATGCACTCTGCCTTGCCTCCATTAAGACATTCAGGAACCCAAACGACTAAAGGTCGTCTGAACAGCTTGGATATAGGCGCCATGTCGTCGTTCCGATTGGATGCTTCAGGGTACACTATACTCGGCGGGAAAGTACAGCGGGAAATTGCTTCTTGGATGAGACGTCTTCGCTCGTCTGAGTCCATGATGCAGACGATGACTCCGTCCTTTCAGCCCTCGTGCCTGTTTCCCGCTATCAATGCCTTTTAGATTCTAAAGTGATAATTTTGGAGGAGCGGAGCGGAGGTCGGAGGAGTAACCACTCGGAGCGGAGCTACCGGGGCATGGCGGCCCCGGTATCTCCGATAAACCTTGAGGAGCATCACCATCTTCGCTCTCCAACCACTCGATCTCGTCTGCCAATCCTGGACCGGTCCGTGGTGGACCGGTCCGGGTGTCTGGCTGAACCGAGCACGACCAGTGCACTTCAACACTCCCACTCACCGCTATCGCACGATGACCTTCTCGATGATGCCGGTTCCATCGCGCAGGAACGTGAGCGTCTTTGTCCCTAGAGCCTTGGCGAGAACGTCCGCTAACTGGTTTTTGGTGTCGACGTACTCAACCGTGACCGTTCCTCGTTCCACTTTCTCTCTGATAAAGTGGTGTAGGATGTCCACGTGCCTCGTTCTAGCATGGTAGCCAGTGTTCTGGGCTAGGGCGATTGGGCCCTGGTTGTCTTCCCAGATTGTCGTTCCGCTGGAGTTTGCCCATGTCAGTCAGCATTGCACGCGTGCAAAGCACTTCATGAACACACAGGCTCAAAGCCATGTCGCAGAGCTGAGAGCACCCGTCCTCTGGAACTTGTATATGAACACCACGTGGGCGTTCCCGATCATCACCATGACACCCGAGACGGACCGCCTGTCGTCGAGGTTCGTACCCCCAATCAGCGTCCGAGAACACCTCGAGCATCACACTACCCGTGCCATCTTGGTAGATGATCCCATGTTGGCGTGTCGACTTGAGGTAGCGTAGCACATGCACTGCAGCGTTCCAGTGCTGCTGTCCAGGGTTCTCCAGAAAGCGCGAAAGCTGCGTGACCACGAACGCGATGTCCGGACGCTGATGTACAGCAGGCAACCGATCAGGGAACGGTACGGCTTTGGCCGCATTGCGTTCCGTTTTTCATCCGTTCTTGGCGAATGTGTCTTCGACAATTTTAGCCCAGTAGCGCACGGGTTGTCCACAGGCTTGGCGTTTTTCTGCTCAAAGCGTTTTACCACGTTGTCGATGTACCGTGTCTGCTTGATCATGAGTGTTCCGACCGTTGTGTCGTGGTCGATCTCCATCCCCAGGATAATTTTGCCGGTCCGAGTTCCTTCATCTTGAAGGCGTTCTTCAGCGCGTCCTTTACGACCTGGATTTCCTCGCTTGATTTCGCAGCGATGATCATGTCGTCGACATAGAGACAGACGTAGATGAATCCGTTCTTGGAACGCTTGACGTAAACACACTGATCTGCACCGCAGCTATTGAAGCCGTTCCCGAGGAACACCCGATGGATGGTCTTGTTGCACGCACTTGCGTTCTACAAGGTGCACTACCGCAAGCTAATCACTTACACCAGGGCAAAACGTCCCGAGATGCTGCCATCAGACGAGTGGTGGGTTGTCACCTTCTCGGTGTCGCCTGCCATCGACACAATCAATGTTACGCTTGCTCTGCTGCAAAAGAGGTCGCTGCTGATCGCGCAGCAGGAGGATCATATTCATGCATTGATCGAGGCTCTCACCAGCATGTTCCATATTGAAATTGAGCAGTCCGGTGATACTGGGGCCGAGTACGTGGCATTCCACTCGATGCGTGTGCATATCAACGACATTATCGCTCACATTGAGGATCAAGGTTCGCTTGCTAGGGCATGCTATGAACGCCTAGACGAAGCAGCCAAGAAAGCGGTTGTTCGACAGATCGCCGTATATGCCATGATTCTGGTCGACGGCTTGGACGGCGTCGAGGCTGAGCGTGATGGCGCAATCTCGGCCTTGAGCAGGATGCTCCACCTGTGTTACCCAGTCAGCTAGTTAGGCTGCGCCATGGTGTGTTCTTGCGGGATGTACTAGATCCGTACCGCGAGCACATCAGCAAACACTGGAAGATCGACAATGTCGACGGAATTGAGGCCAACCACCGAGACTTACTGAAGGCGTACAACGCGGATGAGACCCTGCGCGAGATTATTGACAAGCACACAGTTGCCATCGATTTCAACGAAGCCTGGGACTCTGTTTCAAACCGATTCCATCAACTGCGATCCTTTTGTGGCGGACTGGCGACCGTGTTCGCTAACACCACCTCGGTCGATTCGGATTTCTCAATTTTGAAATGGGAAATGGACGATAACCGCACCAGCATGATGCACCTCTCACTGGAGGGTATCTTCCAGGCTAAACAGCGAGTCAAGCTGCAGTTATTGGTGCTCTAGATGAGCCCCAATTTAGCAGACAACAAACGTCTACAAAATAACTTTCGTGGTGTCTACAAAGTAGCTTAGTTTTGTAAGTTTGTAGAAATCTACAGAATTATGAGGCCTGCCATAAACTCTATGACCTTCCATTTGAATTGTGTCAATGCGAAACCCAAGTGATAACTAATCTGTCCCTCCGATGATCATTCCTTCTTCACGCCAAATCGACACCATAGTAGGATGACTACAGTCACATTTTTCTACTACCTTAGTTGTCAATTCGACACCCATTAAATACTTCTCCTATCCTACCCTTTAGAAGGCCGACAAAGCACGTAACATGCTGGTTTTGTCCGGAGGACCTGCAATTTCTTCCCGTATAGGGGGAAACGGCCACTCGCTTGCTCCAATTAGTACTTGAGATCCTCCGAAGCAGTATGTTCACTACTCGGGGCTGTTTTTTTTTTTTAGAAGGTCCCAATTACGCTTGGGATGGCAGCAATCATAAGAACAAAAATGCGCGCTCGGGCCAACGGCAGCGTTGAGGAACAGTGCATATGCTGCTTTCGACAATCTCCACCTTTGAGCTTGTAGATATTGCAACAATTGACTGTCTTGCTGTCCCGCAGGGCCCAGCAAATACATTTATCAATGTTACTGCTTGTTCTAGAGGTCCATAATAATTACTGCAATACACAAGGACACAATAATAGTTACTGCAATCATTTCAATGTATTGGCCAAATACAAAACTCTAAAGATGCCCTTCCTCGTCATCCTCAATGCAACCGAGAAGAGTTGCGCTGTTCCAAAGCTCCATATTAGCCCTCAAATACATCATTACCTCAAAGTTTGCAGGCAGGGTTGATGCACGCAGAGAGGTCAAGACCAGCTTACACCCCGAAAATAGACGCTCGCATGCGTTGCTTGTTGGAGGGACTTCATGCAAAATAGGGTCGTACTTAGTGACAACATGCTCGGAGCGTCGACGTTTCTTTGCCTGCCGGAGAACGATTGAGGCAAAATCAACTCGAGGACGCACTGCAGGACTTGATTCATTTGTAGGAAGCACGAACGCCTTGATTTCTTGTTGCTCGGGAGATGAAAGCGGGAGATCGTTCTGGACTTTCACTATAGCAGACTCAAAGAGGGGGGGAGTGAACGATCTGGGCAGCCGGTTGCAAATACTCACTCATCTCTGGGTACTTTACCATACAGGCGTCAAACAACAGACGCACCTCCGCCATAGAACGTTCCTCCGCCTGCAACTTGACACAAACACTGTCAAGCTCGACGAGCTTATCGGTCACCGCAGCAATGCGCCGGTGGCCGTTCCCTCGCGGAACGAGCTCCTCCACAGCACTGACGATAAGAATTGCATCGCGTATCTCCATGCTGTAGCATTTGGTATGTAGATGACCATCGCGTCACATTAGCCTTGATAGGCTTCAGGTGGGTTACTCGGGATAGCGCAGCAGCATTGTTGGTGTGACGTAGTTGAATCATCAGATTTTGAATCATGTCAATCTGAGTCTAATACCCCTCCAGAAACCGATTAACCGCAAGATTAAATCGATGGCTAGCACAGCCAATCAGAGGAATCTTGAGCATTGATGCTAAACACTGATTGGTCGAACAATTGTCTCCAATGAGGAAGCGTACCATGCTCAGGTCCTTGTTGTACAGCATCAAAACCGATTCCATGTGCTCAAGGTGAGCACTACCTGTTTGGCCATCATCCATCGGGGAGAGTGACAGGAGCCGCTGGTTTCGCACTCCGTTCACCACATAGACCGCAAAAATGTCCAGAAAATGAAGGGAATGGCATGTCCAGCCATCGTACATCAAGGCAAAGGACTCGCCCATTTCACCCTCGATCGTTTGGCCAACCTTGGCAGCGGTAAAACGCATGTATGTTTTCATCGTCCTCACTGTTGTACGCGTCATAGTCACGACCTCACGAGTCAGCTTGTTCTCTACTTCTGTGATGGGCAAATTCCGCTGAATAATCCAGCGCATCCATTGGTAGATATTGAGGGTGACCTCGTCCACAAACCCGAACATGTCGATGGTTGGGGTGGTGGTAGCGGCTTGGAGTTCAGTGTACTCGCTCGCGTAGCCGGCATGCTTGGCACCCATGTGACCTAGGAGATTGCTGTAGCCACTGCCGCTGGCTTGTTTACGCTTACATCCACACTTTTTGCACTGGAAGAGTCCTTCACCGAGATCGGAGTAGAAGAAGGAGCACAGCTGACGCGACGTCATCGTAGGTGTTGGGGTGAGGAGGGTAGTTTTGGCTTGGAGTTCGAATTTGTAAGTGAGTTAGGAGTCGATCGTCCGTACGAGCGCGTTGGTGATGAATGGTGGCGGAGTAAGCTTCAAATGGTTGGTAGGAGGACAAACAATAAAATAGTATTATCTGTTATTTTGCATTATATTGAAAACAGCAAAAGGCAATAATAAATTATTAAATAAATATAATATCAATGCTATTGATATTATATTATTTTCTCCATGCCCTGCTGTCCCGATGTACAATCAATAAACAATCGTTATTTCCACAGCTCTGGTCACCGAATCGCCGACAATCAAGTTGGAATGTGGTCGAGTAGCTTACCGGAAATCAAGGAGCCCAGCACGTGCGCACTCTCAGCCTCGCTGCATATGCCTACATTACGCAATGGCAGAAAAGGTTACAACCTAGAATAAAAAATGAAATGAACACCTAGTGTATTGCAAAAACGGATGGCTATCCAGTGTCGCCCAACAAAAAGATGAAATCCTAGTGTACACAAGTATATACTCGAGAGGTAGCGAACCGACAATTGGGCTTGATAGGAACAAGATTACGACAGAGGCCGCAATTCCCCTCTACCAACCGTCCTCTCACCATACGTTTCGGACTAGTCTTCATACAAATCCACTTTAGGCGGAGAGCTTCAGAAAGTGTAGTATATCGTTAACAGCGTAGCGTAGTGAGACCAAAAATACCCCTACCCCTCCCCAGTACGAGCTTATACTCGCGTTAATATCTTCCTCTATTCGTACTCAATGACACTGTCATTGTTATGAAGTGCACACGCGATGGCAAATTGTAGAATGAGATTTAGTTATTGATTCTAGCTAGCTGCAACCGTACTCTGTTGTATCCTACCTACAAACTAATTATTGACAAATTCAGTCCTGCATTCTAATTGGTTCTTTGATAAATGACGTGGTTTTTCTGTTTTTCGTCATTGTCAATTGACGTATGAAGTGTTTGACGAATCATGTACTGTGTACACAAATACGTCACAACCATACGTCCGAGTTTGAAACACTAATGAAATAATTATAATAACAGCAACAATACTGAGTTATTTTTCTGGTGACGACCCAACACTGCAAAAAAAAAAATAATGGTATACTTTGTTTTTTTAACTTCCGAGATGTTAAGCCTTCTCGACTCGAATATCAACACATCTGAAAGCCGTACGTCCCGTTCTGCAACTCTAGTGGCATCGAATTTGCCATGGTACCAACGCATAATAGCTACTTCATCCGCGTTACCGAGGTCTCGACTGGACGCTATAATGCACGTGCTATCTCTACAGCAGACACGTAAGTTGGCCGCGAGAAGCTGCTACACCACGGCACACGTACGGCATACGGCGTACGTGTATCATGCAGATACGATTTTTTTTATCTCTGTTAAACGATGCGCACCATGCTTTTGCTACTGCAATCCCGATCAAAAATAATGCTTCGCACGTGTGTCAAGCAAGTATCATACAAGAAGCGGTTCTTCTGATATATATTACTGTAGATGTCACTACAGCTGGGCTGCTAATTTAGTAACTAATGAGCGATGAGAGCCGAAGTTAAAGTATACATTACCAGTATCCAGCCAGTATACGCTTGAATTAAACCACACTATCTTAGATTTGAAAACACACAAAAGCCATCCAGTCTCACTGAGGTTTTAATCGGCAATTGTAATGGTGAGGATTGGGAGCGGGTCACGAAGCTGGATGACACTATTGATAATGTCCACACATCGATACTAAGATTGAACCCACACGGGTTTAAAAAGATTAGCTCGTTGGCTTAGTTTGCTAAAATGCCTCGCCAAGGCATGGAAAAGACGCTGTATGAACTGGAAGGCGTGGAACGAATCGCTGAGCTCTAAAGAGCATAGCTATCGCAAAATTATTTCTTTCTTCTTCTGCTAATGTGTCGATGAGCATGGTCCTAACTTCGCATCGTAAAAACGAGTGTATTTCAGCCAAACCTCTCGGTTTTACTGCCGATTTTCCCCCGTCCTGCACGTTTTGAATACCCTCCTCACACTTGCCAGTGTAACCAAATGTGTCGACTTACAGTACTACCCTTGTAGCTTCAACCGGATGGTGCGGAGTTGGGAATCAGACATTCCGACAGATTGCCAAATCGGTCTCATTTCCCTCAGGTTCATGTTTCGGTTTCTCAAGACGTTGTAGAGCTGCCCAGGTGTCGTACCATAGGCCACCAAGTTTTTAGCTGCTTGCTTCGGCGACTTATCGAGACGAATCCAGCGGTCGAAAACGTCATCCAGAGTTCTCCCGTCTCTTAGCCAAGCTTCGGTGATTTGCAGGTCCGTAAACTTTTTACCGATCGTTTTCTGGTATTCTTTCCACAACACCATGTCCCTCACTTTGGTACTCACCGTGGCTTTCCCTTTCTTAACCATCTCGTTTACTCTCTTCAGCATCGATATCGTCGTCAACAGTCGGAAGATTGTCGGACCTTAAGAGCCGTTTGACTGTCGTGTCAGGATCTTCAGCAAAATGACCAGAGTGGGGTGAACCCCAACGTTTGGCGTTGTCCTCGACAGCAGCATCTTGTTCGGAGGCAAAAGCAGATTGAGTATCACACAAAGTGATGACAATACACACCGCTAACAGCAGTACGTGTGGCAGACGCATTGCATTCTTGTATTTTGATCTTGAGGAGAAATTGAAGATGAGATCGGTTGTTGTTCTTCAATTGATGGAATGAAAATCGTTGGATGATTTTGTTGAAACGATTTGTATTGCAGACTGAATTGATGAGTACAGTATCAATACCAATCTTTGGATGATTCGTATCGATAGTGTACTCATCAATTTGTAGAGGCATCGATAAATGCAACAAATAACGTATTTCGGGGGAAAAAAGTTTTTTTTTCAGGGACGTTACGTACCTGTGCACTACGGAAAAGCGTAGAGTCACGTATAAGCAAATGTTGCTACTCCGAGTACTTTATAAATATTGGCCGATTGTGCAACTTGGTTTGCAACGTAGCTCGGGTAGGTTAATATTCAAATGGAACTGTTTGATTGGCTATATATAGCTCGGCGCCATGCTTTGCTTGCACTGCATGACACCAAAGTCGTGACAACTAGAAGTAGCTTGGTATTGACGGTAGAGGGGCTGATATTGCCGACTTAGTGGTATATGAGTACAGTGACATTGATGGTACTTATAACTGCATTCACGCTCACCAACAAGGTCGATAATGGCTACTGTGGGAGTCTGCCCGTGGGATAGCGTCTCTGCGACAGCCCTCCCTTAAAATGCGTTAACAACCTTGCCTTGGTTTTACTATGGCGATTTGCACCCCGCGTTTGCGGCCCTAACTTAATTTTACTTTGATAGGGATGAATTGCTATTTGTATGCTACGGCTGCAAAAGTCGGCCGTTCATGCTACGGTGCCTGCAATGACTGTTGAAAACGGCACCCAATTTTATGCGTGATCCCATCGGTAGTCATAGCGTTGGGAGCTGCCAATTTATTCCTGTCCTCGAGTGTACCATAAAAATGGATCCGAGTATCTTCAGTTTGGAACAGTGCACAAAGTATACGATTAATGTAGCTCGTTACTGGCGATTCACCCTGTTTTGCTCTCCTATTGCCAGTTTGCCTCACCACACCGATAAACTCTCCTCTCAAGCCCAGCAAGTCCGCCTTATACTCACCAATACTCAACGACTGCTGTACAAATATGTTAGCACCATGCTCACATACCTAGTTTGTCCAAGAGCTAAATTCATGGGCTCACAGAATCTACGGTCTTGGGAGCTATTGATACGCTGAACAGCACTGGACTCACTTCCGGTCTCGCAGTTGGTCACCAAATCGCGGCACGAGCCGTGCGCCAGTCTACACCCGACCAAATACTTGCCAGTTGGGTTTCGTGGAGTGAAGAGGGTGTCGCCGTCACAGATGTGCAATTAGAGTGAAGGTTGAGCACTTTCCGTGATCCTAAAGCTCGAATCACGTCCAAAGTAGTCAAAATAGGCATCATCGGCTCAACATTCGGATCGTGGCAGCAACAATGCTCTTGTGTAGTTATGACTTTTTCCATAGTTAAGAACCCCAGAATAGGAATAATTGACTTCAAATGTATTCCATTTTACTATTGAGGGGTGAGAGGAAATGGGTTTGTAAGTGACTGGTTAATTACTAATTTATTGCTATTGAGGGAGTATTCCATTTCTAGGGATTACTACCCAGGGGATCGTCTGTACCTCAAAAATCTGGTCAATACGGACCATCTAGCCAATCAAAACTCGCAATTCCCAGAAATACAACTTCGGTTGCAAATGGTCGATAATGTACGTGTATTTTATAGGTCAAAAATTTCGCTTTAGTGACGCTTCCCGATTTTAACGACTAAAGTCTGTTGCAGACGCAACTTCGCGTTGGATCGGTGAACTGCAGATGATGCAGAGCCTCTATCTAGTAGTGCTACGAAGTAGACGCACTTAAGTATGTTTAATTAGGCGACACACACTATCTCATTGTACAAGCTGCTGTCATGACGCGCGGATGGGGAACCAAAACCCGCACTTTGTTGCGACTAAATATTTCACTACGTAAAATTGAAAACACGCTGTTGAATTGTAAGCGTACGTAGTCGAGGAAGCGACAGTCCGATCCGAGGAGTGAGCCCGCGGATATTTCCGATTCTTGTTATGGTGGACGCTTGGCGTCCGCTTCCACAGATGTCTTCCTTGCGCGCCGGACAGTTGCTGTCTTTGCCCACAATGACCTGGATCCACACGATAACGGAAGGAAGGTGTCGGATGGTGCTGCGTAAAGATCAAATGATTTTTCAAATGTTGGATTCCTGTAGCTGCAATTATAACAGGAAAGTGACAACAAGGACCAAGAGTTCCCATTGTCTACCCGCGAGCCTCTTGGAGCCACATTTCAGCCATAGCAACGTGCCTTGCGCCACTACGTCCATGTGCTTTCGGCGATCGGCGAGCCTGGAACAACCGATGCAGCGGTTCTAAGTCTACATCGATCATTTTCAATTTGGCAGAAGTAGAGATCGCTCAATATCTAAATTACAACAATGCCAGGGGGGCCGACACCAAGGTCATTCGTCACGCTAATGCTACTCCAGTTGTCGCTAAAATTTAGTATAGTATCCGCTGACGTCGACTCAGCGTCAGACAACGTGGAGTCTCTCTTCGGCAAAGCTCAGGGCATTCAATTAGAAGGCAGTATTTTGGCATCAACTGCGATTATTGTCGGTGCAGTGATGCTAACTTTTGGTTTTCGACTCGTCCGTCCGGCACTTTTCGTTGTTGGGTTCGTTGTTGGAGGCGTCACCATTGCCATGATCACCGAGCGCTTGTTCAGTGACGAACCGTGGGTTGTTTTGGCGTCTTGGATAGCATTCGGAGTCGGAGGCCTGTGCGGTGCTGCAGTCATTTGGGTTTATCCGGTCAGTACCTTCGTTGTTGGTGCCGCGACCGGTGTCATGACTGGGATGATAATTACCATTTCGCTTGGATATCTTATCTATCCTGGCCATAGCAAGGATTTGATTACGCTCCTGTGTGTAGTACTTGGATTCGTCTTCGGGGTGTTGGCACTGAAGTTAGGGAAGCCCCTGCTGATCATTTCAACTAGTCTTTTCGGCTCCGGAATGGTGGCGTGGGGCGTTGGCTACTTCGCTGGAGACTTCCCGGATGCCAACGACCTCGAGCAATACGAGTCAGAAGATATTAACGGCGACACAGTGTACTCTATTCCTCCTGCGTGGTGGGGCTATCTTGCTGGAATCATCGTGTTATTCGTGTTCGGCATGTTCATTCAGTTCCGTAAGACTGCGCGCAATGGCAAAGATAACAGGCCGAAAAGTAGACGTGTCGACGTCGCTGAGTACGTTGAGACGAAAACTGCGCGTAACCAGAGCCAAGACAGTGTGGATATGGAGGTCACACCCCGTCATGTTCGACCTCAGAGAGAAGTTCGAGAGAAGCGTAGGGTTCGGCGGGTTCTCCTCCAACAAACTCCCAACCAACAGCGTATCAAGAAGCAGCAGGCACCTCCATCGTCGTTGTATTCGACTACCCCTCGCTATCAGTACGCCGATCTCGACGCTACTGGAGAAATCATCGAGTACGATGAGCGTATACCACACCAGAAGCGCGTTTTCTCTTCGAACCGCGAGCCCGACCTGTACGAGCTTGAACCGAGCCGTGGGCCGTGTGCCATCTGTGGAGACCACGGTCACAGAGACAGCTCGATCTGCTCGGAGAAGGTCATTCGCATCGAGAGGCATTAGATAAGTTTACTTTATATCTGACACTACCACAATAATGAACCTCTATTACCGGAAAACAGCGACCACAACAAAGATCGTCGGTGCAATTAGGATATCTTTAATAATACGCTTCTGCGGTGTCTGAACAATCATATCAAGTGACTGGATGGTATGTGTTCGCTTGGGTGTGAGGTTTACAGCACTATGGATGTGACGGCATCAAAAGACTGTATTTCATCCAAACAGTTTGGTGGTCTACCTCGCTGGTTTTGCGGTGCTATTCATCTTGAGCTAGTGGAAGTCCCGTATTCCATTGCAACCTGTACCGCACGACGCATTTTGTAGATTCCGTCACCCAATACTGTCATCGATTCTACTGAACGTAGGGATGGATTCTCACTCAATTATATACTACTTCGGTGTTATTCGCATCATCAACTAGCGCAGCGATACATTTTCAAGCCAGTTGCAAACTTGGACGTTGTGCACGTATTACAGCAAGCTGCTGCATCGTTGTCAACGATTCATTGGGCCCAACGACGCACCGAATTGTTAAGACGATCTACATTTACTCGTCGCGAGTGGATTGCCGGTCGCTATCGGATGAGGCGGGCTATGCGCTGACAGCTTGACATCCTACGACTGTCGAAGCAAGAGCTACAATGAACGACACGCTGACATTCGACGTCTGCCATAGAGCTCACTGCGAGCGGTCAACCTGCCAACATCGCAGTGAAGACGCCAAGCCCACAGCGCATGGTCTGTTGCGTGGGTATTGATTAACTCTTTCTTTCACCACTGACAGCTTCGCTGGTAATATTACTTTGAAATATGGAGTGATATCGACGCTGCAGACGATTTCTGCGATCCGGGGCGTTGAAGTGATCGAGTGGATATCCCTGGCCTAACTTTTGGGCGAGTGGCACCATGCAAATCTCCTGGATCCGCGCTCAACAATGCGACCGCAAAGGCGTCTTCGAACTTCGACCCGCAAAGCTGCGATTGTCTTCGGCCACGATACATCTCTAACTTCGCAGATACAAGTGAGAATTGGGCATTGATCGAGGATTCCTTGGAGGTTTTGGTCCAAAAGTTTTGGAGAGCAAAACGATTACGATCCTGATTTCGGCAAAAAAAGATGTTCGTTGAAGCCACCTGCTCTGTCTCTTGTGTGATGGCATCTTGGATTTTGTATGCATGGAAAATACAGAACCATCACCAGTTCAAATGTGATTCAGAATAGAGCAGCAAACGCAGCCGTGGCTTCAGATCGCCTGCAAAATGCCAAACTTGAGCAATAGTTGGCTATGAAGAGCTCTGATTTCGCACAGTTCAGATTTCGTACCCACGCAGCGGAACCGGCCGGAGTTCGGATGGGCTGTGAGCCAACGCGTTTGCAACCGAAGATACTGCTACAATTGTGTGGCCATCACAATGTCACATTGCATGTACAAAGCTGGCTGCTACAGCCCTGGCACTGCCAGTGGCAGCGGAGCATGGCACTGCAAGCTTGGAGCTCGGCTCTCATAGTCAGCAGCTCTTTAGGATCATGGAGCATCGAAAATCGGCGCTCGCCCGATCGTCGTTCAATATTATAGGCGCTCAGGCGTGCGAGCTGGGACAGCCTTGCTGGCCCGTTTGCAGTGGCCAGAGCCAAACATCCATTCACATTCCAGTAGATGCACTCGCTTCAACCTGCTGGCCAGACAGATAGACAGTGGCCTCTTCGTACCGGTCAAAGCAACAGACTGGAGCGGTATCCTGGTTAACATTTGCAGCGGCGGCGGCAACACTGGAGCAAGGCAACGAGCATAGCTAGTGACGGAGGTAATCCGATCGAAGCCTAATTTAGGCCATAATAAGATGCCACGGAGGACTCTTCGGCGACCCTTCTTCTGGCAGACGAGGCACTTCTGGTGTCCGAGCTTCCCACTGTCAATTTTTGCTCCAGTGGCTTCTACCCTTTATATATCCACAATCAGTACATACTGATTTTGTACAGTACATTATGCTTACATGACCAAGAAAGTTCGAATCTGTCAAGCGACATGTTTTGGATCTTTACTGAATTATAATAACTCGAGTCTACAAAGATACTGTCCATGTTGACACACGCCTTTTGGAGCTTCATACATAGCGCAAGTTGCGCGCGTCGATCGCTAGCCGGACGCTGAACGCAACCAGCAACGCATCCACCAAAAGCGACAGCCGCACGCCTTGGCCTCATTCTCTAACTGGCCTCTCACCGCAGAGGACTATCGCCGTCGAGGAGTGGCTTTCTCTCACTTCTTTCCTCGACCTTTTCTCGCTATGAGACTCTCAGCAGCGCTTGGTGCGCTGCTGATGCAGGCCGTGCCCTCGGCCGCGCAGACGACCACCACTACAGACGTGTACTACCCGACGATCTTGAGCGCGGCGGGCAACGTGACGGGCTTGCCGGGAGGCAATGAGTTCTGTGGCTCAGCCCGCGTGCGTAAGCCCTGGGGTGCCTTGACGTCCGACGAGCAGGCACTGTACCTTGAGGCCACCGAGATGGCCATCGCTAACGGCGGCGTGGCCGAGTTTTCGGCTATTGCTGCTGACTCACTGGGCCAGGCCCAGGGCGAATACTCTTGCGCCTTCTTCAGCTGGCACCGACGCCTATTATTAGCCTACGAGTCCTACCTACGCGACCTAGACGAACGGTTCGCTTGTCTCACGTTGCCCTACTATGACGTGCACACGGCCTACATCCAGGCTGTCAATGGGGAATGCTCCAACATGTTCGAGTGCAGCGGCATCTTCCAGGCCATCGGCGGCGCGCCCAACTCGACGGACGAGACGACGCTGGTTTTCGACGGCGTCAACGCCACGGGTTACGCCGTGAGCGGCGCGCCGTACGCCGACTCCTGCGACGACGACGACAACTGCGGCTACATCGTACGCGACGATCTGTCCAGCAAGCCTGTGCCTAGTGCCGCTAGTTTCGGCTCCTTCCAGAGCGTCGTGGCCTCTTCGAGCGACTACGCCACGTTTCTGGAGAACATCCAGTATGGCGTACACAACGAGGTGCTGGACGCCGTGGGCGGCGCCTTCTCCACGGCCGTCGCCGCGCGCGACGTGCTGTACTACTCGTGGTACTCGGCACTCGACATGTACCTGCACGTGTTCCACCTGTGCCGTGTCGGCGTGCCGGTCACGTACGAGCAGATCCTCGAGTCGCTGGAGTTGTTCAGCAACGCCACGCAAACGTGCGGCGGCGTGGACGGCGTGGACGCCGAGTCGGCGCTCATCATGCAGATTACGGTCGACGGAGAAGTCGTGGACGCCTCGCAGCACCCTACGCTGGGCCAGTACTTCGGCTACGTGGGCAGCGACAACTGGAACTACGTCGACATCCAGCAGCTCGGAGACTACTCGTACACGTACCAGTTGCCCGAAGTGCTGCGTCAGCAGATCTTGAGCAACAACGACGTGTGCACGGGCTTCAACCGCGCGTTCGCGGCTTCGTACACGACGTTGAACGCCGCTGCGGTCAAGAGCACGACGACGACCAAGACGACCACCAAGACTACCACTACCAAGACTACTAAGATCGTGAACGGCAAGAAGGTGACGACCACCAAGGTGACCAAGGTGGTGACCAGGTCGAACAGCACTACGTCGTCCTCGGCCAAGTCCACGGTGACCAGCGGCCAGCTGGTGAGCAGCTACGGATACACGTACCTGGGCAACTTCAGCACGGACAACGTGGCGTACGGAGAGGGTACGATCGTGACGAACGGGTACACGGGTTACACGCCGTACTACACGAACGGCGAGATCACCACCAAGCACAACGGTATCGTGAGCGCCAACTACTCAAGCTCGTCGACCACGACCAGTACGTCGTCCCGCGTGGACGCGACGTACGCGAACACGTCGAACCTGGTGATGAACGTGACGGTGGGCACGCGCTCGGTGGCTCGCAACGTCACGGCGTCCGTGGCCACGTCGGGCAGCTACTGGGCGTGGCTGCAGACGGCCTACAACGGTCTGTACACCCGCTTCGAAGGCAACCTGGACCTGGTGACGACGCACATGAAGCTGCTCGAGTGCTACACGTTCGACAGCGTCTACGGCCTCACCAACTTCACGTCCACGTTTGTGACGGACAAGAACCTCATCACGAGCCGTAAGGAGTGCGGCCAGCGTCTGGATCTGGTGCGTTCGGGTCTACTGCAGATGGCTGTGCGCTCGACGTCCTACTCGGCGTCAAGCCTGACGTTCGCCAGCTCGACGGTCATCCGTACCATCCGCACGTCGTACAAGCGCGTGACTACGCGCAAGGTCACGTACGTCCGCAAGTCGTACACGCAGAAGGTGCAGTCGAGTCTGGAGTCGACGCAACAGGCTCTGGGCAACATCACGGTCACCTCGACGAGTGGCTCGGGTGATGACGAGACGTCCACTACCGTTGTGGACACTGGATACATGACGTCTAACACAACAAGCAGCACGGTGCAGAGCTCCAAGAACTCGTCGGCTGTCACAACCACGAGCAGTACGACGACCACCACCACGACGGCGGCGAATGTGTCGGAGACTCTGTCGGAGGCCTCGTCGGGTTCGACGGATCTTGAAGTGTCTGGATCGAGCTCGACTGAGACGGACTCGGATACTGGAAGCACCTCGAAAGAGGGATCTACGGTGACGACCACCGGCTCGAACGGGGAGACGACGACCACGACCACGACCGGTTCGGGCGGTACCGTTAAGACGACCACCACTGGATCGGGCGGCAGTATCAAGACTACCACGACTGGCTCGGGCGAGACCACGACGACTGTTACTACTGGATCGGGAGCTACGACGACCACTACGGGCGGATCTTCGACCACTACTACCGGATCGACCACTATCACTGGTACTACAACCACGACCGGATCGACGACTACGACGACTGGATCGACGACTACGTCGGGTGGATCGACTACTTCTACGACCAACTCGGGTACGTCGACGTCGACCAACTCGGGCACTACAACCTCGACGACGACGGGTGGAAGCACGACGACTACTACTGGTCAGAAAACGACTTCGACAGGCTCGAACGGCGAGACGATCACCACGACTACCGGCTCGAACGGTGAAACGACGACGACCACTACGACTGGCTCGGGCGGCTCCATTCAGACTACCACTACTGGATCTGGCGGCGCGATCGAGACGGTTACGACTGGATCGGGTGTTACGACGACGACGGTGACGACTGGATCTGGCGAATCGACGACCACAACAGGCACCACCTCTGCGACCGGATCGCACTCCACGACTCAGACTACCACCGAGTCATCGGCTTCGGGATCGATTGATACCACGACTCCGGGTGCTACCCCTGCGGCTACTACACCGGGTGCTACGCCCGCTGCCTCCAAGCCTAGTGCTACGCCTGCCGCCACGACGCCTAGTGCCACGCCTGCCGCCACGCCGGCTGCTACGACGCCGAGTGCGACGCCTGCCGCGACGACTGAGCAGTCCGAGACGTGCACTGATGTGTCCGTTGAAGGCGATGCGACTTATTGCATTGAGGGACCAATCTGCAGTGGCGCGGGTGACCTGCCTGCTGGCTCGCTGTGCCCCAAGAAGGGAGACGTTGCCGTGCAGGACTGCCATGACACACTGTCTAGCTACACGAACTCGACCACTTGCGTGGCTCCTCAGGATGCCGTGTGCTTGAAGATCAAGACGGGTGCTTGGGGATGTGTCTTCGAGAATGCCACGCCGGCTCCTACGACGACTTCGGCGGACGAGTCGACACCTGCTCCGACCAAGACGAACGACGAATCGACCCCTGCTCCGACCAAGACAGCGACTGAGGCCCCTACGCCTGCGCCCACCAAGTCGGAGACAGCGACTGAGGCTCCTACGCCTGCGCCGACCAAGCCAGAGACGACGACCGACAAGCCGACGCCAGTGCCGACGACTTCAGAAACGGAGAAGCCGACGCCGGCTCCGACTAAGGAGGGCTCGACGCCTGCTCCGACCACCGCTGGTCCATCTACGGATGCTCCTACGCCGTGCCCTACCACTGAGGTGCCCTCTACCGAGTCGCCAACGCCGAAGCCTACGACCGAGGTCCCATCGACCAACGCTCCGACCCCGTGCCCGTCGACTGGCGTTCCTTCGACCGAGAGTCCGACACCGAGCCCGACGACGGAGGTGCCGGCTACGGACGCTCCGACGCCATGCCCTACGACCGTGGTACCCTCGACTGAAGGCCCGACACCGAGCCCTACGACCGGAGTGCCGTCGACTGACGCTCCGACGCCGTGCCCGACGACGGAGGTGCCTACGACAGACGCTCCTACGCCGTACCCAACGACCGAGACTCCTGAGACTGAGGCCCCCACGCCGTGCCCTACCACTGCAGTGCCGGCTACGGAGACCCCCTCCAAGACCCCGGAGCCGGAGACCCCCACGAAGACTGGAACGAAGGCCGGCACCAAGACGGAGACCACCACGTCGTCCAACCACGACGACGACTACACGTGGCAGCAGACGCAACAGGAGACGCAGCAAAGCGCCTCCTCGTCGACCAAGACGTTTACCACGTCCTACACTGCGACGACGTCGGATGCTACCACGACGGCTGCGACGGGAGGTGTGGGTGCTGCCGCCGTTGCTGGCATCGTCATCGCTGTCTGCGCTGTCGTCGCCCTCGCGGGTTTCACGGCCTACAGGATCCGCCAGCGTCGCAGTACCGATGACTTTACCCCCAGCGGCTACTACAGCCAGCCTGCGACGCCGGTCACTCGGTCGATCAAGCTGTAAGCAGACGACAAACCTTTTGTACATGGCGACTCTAGTGGCGAGATGGACGCTAAACAGGCATCCCCACGCTGTGCATAGCTTGTTATGTACTACAAACAATAGAGTCTCAACCATCATTTTTTTTCCTAAAGAGTTATGCAGATGATCCAATTTAGGACCGTACACTGTTTAGTCCAGTAACATTGCCACGGTTGTGGAGAAGAATTTCGCAGATATACTTTTTTTCCGGCGTCAAACGAAATATCTTTAATAGCTTGTCATCCCAAATGAGGCCAGGCAACTCAACCGAGGACATTCCCCGCATTTTCAACACAGTCAAGATATCAAACTTGGAGATTATACTGTCCAACTTGCTGTGCAACATACTGCGATATAATGTTCAGGGAGACTGTCGTGAATGACTGTAAACGAATCACGTTTGTCCTCATCAAGCGTGGATTGGAGAAAGCCATAGAACTCGTTAGCAGACGTCGGAGACGCGTTGAAGAGGACTGGGAATTGACGAATACAAAGTTCGCCAGACGTTCCTGATCCATCTGGCAGCGGCCGAAGGGAACACCATCCTGTTTGATTGGAGTGCATCCCGCGGAAAATCCCCTCGCCCTCCGTGTACGTTTTCCATATATATGAAACTCGGTATTCCTCGATGAATCGACGAGCAACAAGCCATTGCACCACGGAAACAGACATACCGGATGCCAGAGTTCGGACCACGCGGTATTTTAGTGCCACTGTGTTTTCAGAGTCGCCAATTCCATCGTACTCTTTGCGATCGCGCTGATGCTGTTGAAAGTCAAATGATTTCCAGCAACCCTGTTGAGCTGTTTCCAAATCGAAAGGCAGCGTGAGCTTTTGCAGACTCTGATGGTATTTCAACTCACCGCTCTCATCACACCAATGCATTGAGCTTTTCACCCCCGCAGGCATCATCAACAGACCACATTCATTCAGAATACCGTCCATTTTGACACGGCATGAGTCAATCTTTTGCAATAGCGAAGATAGCATTGGCATATCTGTCGATTCAAGGCGATGGCCTGCTGCGTCTTTGATCACAGATGACGTCAGGGTGTTCTCGAGTGTAGCGCTGTTTTGCTGTAATTGAAACAGTCCATGGAGATTTTCAATGTAAGTCGCTTGAACTTGCGCCGTTGCGGTCAGTCTTCTCTTCTCTGCCTCCGATCTGAGTCGCTCCTGTCGCTGGAGCAGAGCGAATTCTTTCCAGATTGAGCACTGTTCACTTGGATTACGCCTCGCTTCCTGGGCAAGTCTCAGCTTCTTGAGCTTCAAGCTCAGTTCGTCGTTCGCTTGACGCAGTTTTACGAACTCATTTTTAACGCGTTGGCGTTGCTTGCGGCGGCGAAGCTTCTCCTTTTCACGATGGACGGTCAATGCAATGACGGCGAGGTCGCGCTCATCAAGACTGGTATTGCTGGATGCGTCCACGCTTGATTCCAGTAGTTCTAACATGTCAGAAGTTGCATTGGGTTCACTTTGCTCGACACCGCTGAACACGGTGCTGCTAGGTGAGCTGCAACTCCTGTCCAAGAAGTCTGCCGCCTCCTGAAAGAAGGCAGCGTCGGACAGTAATTCAGTTCTTGACTCCATTTCAAGTGATTGGGTGACTTGCGGCCAACGTGAGCACTTCGATAATGACGGCCCCAGGCTGCCGTCAGACTGACATAGCCAGCGTGGAATAGACAAATCCCCAATCATGTGCGAGAGTCGTGCTCTCAAAGCCTGACCTGCAATTAACTAACAGTAGACGTGAGCACAGCTCGTTTTAGATTTTCCCAGCTGGAATAGTTTTGTTGAGCCGTTTACTCTTGTCTTTGATTGTGTCTAAGGAACGCCTTGAAAAATTCGCGCTCAGTGTAAACCGCGCCTGTACGGATCTGAGCGAGATGTTGGAGAAAAGCCGACTGCGTTGCTCCGTGTTGATGAAGATGACATTAAACTTTCAATGTACAGTGCCTTGCTCAGACCTCGTTACATGTATACCATTCAGTTCCTTGGCAATTGCGAAGACAACGCTTCTTCTGTTGCTTCGCCGAGCGTGACTAATACAATGATTCAACTATGTTTAGTTCCGACCGTAAACAACAAAAACTCATAGAACAGAAGGTGGCAGAAGTATACCGAATCTCAACGATCTGTCAGCCAAAGGACAGTGCATTATTGCTTCCTCGTCCTAGATACGATTTCTAGCGATGCTCATTATCGCACCTCCGCTATGTTTGCAGTTTTAGCACACGTAGGATTAATAGTAGAGGTCTTTAGGTTAACCCACTTTGTCGGACATTAACAGACCACTTATTTGGTATCGGGCCACTTTTTCGGTAATATACGTGGCCACTTATTCAGTAACAGGCCACTTATTTGGTAACAGGCCACTTATTCAGTAACAGGCCACTTATTTGGTACAGTAACAGGCTTTAATCGGTTATCTATGTACGTACAAACAAGTCTTGCGTTTCACGCGGAGCCGGATCGAGGATTGCTCCGATTGCAACACGAGCTCGAAACTCTGTAATCAGGGCATCCAACTTACCTTCATGGTAGTATTTTCGCAATTGCTTCAAGACGGATGATCCACTCTTGCGCTTAGCCCCTCCAGTACCGGTTGATGGCATTCGAGAATCCTCCGACGAGTGCGTCGGAGTTGACGTCGCTTCCAGCCATGGGCTGGATACGCTTCGCGAAGGACCTGTTTGATGGACGCATCGAACAGATATGCATCCCTTCAGAGATTGAAAGGATGGAGAGCGAAGCGGAGGAGTTGAGAGAACTCCACGCTGCGAACACCACTGAGAGTAAGGAGGACACTCTCAGTGCAAAGACGAAGAAGCAGTGCTTCGACGAGCGGGAGCTGGGACTCACTGAAGTCGAATCCCTTCTACGATTTTCTGCTGGAGCACAAGGACGTGCTCCCGGAAGCGATTCCTGCGGAACTTCCGCAGGACAAGGGAATACAGCACGAGATTGATC